TGGCTAAAGCTGTCGGAGCTCAGCCGGGAGCGGTTTGGAGCCGGTGCTCCCCCCGCCACCCCCGGAGCAGGGATTAGCTTCTGTTCTACTCAGTGTTGTACATCTGGGTTTTTCCCCCAAATCCTCCCCAGGCAAATGCGCAGGATAACAAACACCAACCCAGCTGAGCAGTGCCCGGCATCTCCAAGCCTGGATTTGGGCAGCAGCTGGCTGGCATCCGTGCCAGAAGCCAGGTGCTAAGCTAGCAGGAGAGAACAGGAGGTTTGGGAAAGGCGAGGGAGGTTTTGCATCTTGCAGACGAGGGGAGGAAGGCCAGTTGTGAGTGGAGGGTGCTGTGAGCCACCTTCTCCAGCCATGTGGAGGGCATTGTCCCTTTGGCTCCTTGGCTGGGCAATGAGATCCCATCTGATTTGTATGGCCACCAAAAAGCCACTGCTTGGAGTGACTGTGTGGCTATGATAGCCAGGGAGACTGATGACAGGGAGCCCTTTTCCTTGGTGTGATGTGACTGGGGACTGGTCCTCATTGCAAGTCTCTCGCACTCTTCCAACATGCGCTATTTGCTGCTGAAATCACCTGGCTGCTTGCCTCTCTGTGCAGGAGCTGAGCTCACTGCAAACCCTTGGTGCAAAGACCCACGTGCCGTGGAGGGATGTGCTTCTTCCAGCCCCTGAACCCTTCAGCAGTGATCGACTTTCCTCTGCTCCGCTTGGTAGTGTGTCTCGGAGGAGGCCGGCTCGCAGGGCTGCCAGCTGGCCGGGTGCCGAGGTGCGGGCGCTGGCAAGGCATGGCAAGGCAGCGCAGGCCAGCCGAGCGCTGTCAGGAGCGTGTAAGCGGATGTCTGAGTGCCGCACTGAAAAGGGCACTGCTTGGCACTCTCGGCTGTGCCAAGAGGACATCAAAAGATGTACAGCCTGACATGCGGTCTTGCATACTAGTGGGTTGGGTGTGGGGGTAAAAGCTTTGACTTCCATTAGCACCTAGCTCAGCTGCGTGGTCCTGGCCTCCTCCATGGAGAGCCCCAAGGCCTCTTCCAGATGAGCAGGAAGAAATGGGGATTAAAGCGGTTCTCCAAACCAGCTCAGGAGCTGCCAGAGACGATGCCAAGCTCTGCTTGAGGAATCCCAACCAGCAGCCCAGCTGGCTTGGGTGGGGGCCCTCCATCACGTTCAGCACCCTGATGGGCTGTCTCGCAGTCCTGGGGCTGGGGAGTCCTCCGGTGCCACTGTGCAATGGGGCAGCCCCCATGAGGAGGCAATTCCCAGGGCTCTCCATCCCTGCCCGCTTCCCCAATTCTCCCTGCTGCTTTCTTGGGGAAAGTAATACCTCTGGTCCCAGCCAAGGGGCAAGGACTGGAACTGACAGCAAAAGGGTGAGAACTGGGGGGGGGGGCAGAGGGTGCCAACAGCTGTGGTCCATGTAAAACAGCGGCTGTTGCTCTGCCTGGTGTAAGGAGAGTTTCAAAGGCTGGCATTTGGCTTTCCTTGCAAAGGTAATCTTATGAAACAGGAGTGATTTGCAGGCTGCTTTCCTGCTCTCCCCTCCCAGATCTGGAGGAGTCACAGCTGAGGATGAAGTCAGCTTGAAGAGCAAGGTGTACTCACCCTGCTCCTCTGCTGATAACATCTGAGTAACCTCAGGGCACCGAGCGCATCTGCTTTCCCTCCTGCTCCCCACCCTGTGCTGGGACCCTTGCTAGGGAAATCCCAGCCGCTTCGGGAGTTTTCCACCCCTGCGCTGGCTGCCAGAGCAGATGTGGGGCCTGGGAAGCAGAACTGGGAGGAAATGGAGTAACAAGCTGTTTGGAGCAGGTGTATGGGGAAAGCCCCAGAATTGCGTGACGGGTCTTCTCTGCTTCCTCTATATGTGGCAACAGGCTACTTCACTGAAGTGGTTCAGAGCAAACATCCTTCCTGAGAGACAGCCAGCATCACAGCAAACTCAAGAACCAGTCCGTGTGTCTGCCTGGTGCAGGACTGCTGTGCTCACCAGTCCAGCTGCCAGGTACCACCCAAGAATGGTTAGTCCACCCTGCATGACCACAATGAGAAAGTCCCACCACAAACAACCCTCAAGTTGTTACAGGCTTGCTCTTGGTCTGCATGGCCTGTTGTGAGCCAGCCTGTGCTAATGATCTTTACGTCCATATGGAAAAGAAATCACTTGTTCCTGTCCTGTCTTGCAATGACTCTGGGAATCTACATGGCCTCTGAGAAGGCATCAGCCCATCTGTCCACTCCATGGGTGACTGAAAGCATCTCTTGGGTACCCCACATCTCCATTAGTCTCCACTGAAGGTAGACCTTGACTCAAGATCTTTGTCCTGGCTCTCAAAGCCCTTCCTAGAACCGGTCCTGGCTACCCACAGGGTCTCCTCTCCCCTTGTCTGTGTTCCTTTGTGGCAGCTCTGGAGCAATTATGTCTGGCTGGCAGGGGTGGGGTGCAGCTGGGGTTGATGGCTAGGAACATCTGGGCACTCTAAGGTGGGACAAGTGCCCCAGGTTGTATGGTGGCGGAGTGCACTGTTACTGCTTGCCCTGGGGGAGCGGGTCTCCAGTGCAATGATGGGGTGTGTGTATATACACATTTCCATCCATCTATATATTACTTATCTCACTCCAAGACGGCAGCAGCGGCTGCTGCTGCATCCTTTTTCGGAGCTGCTATTGGCCAGAAATGATGTCAGTGCTTCCCAGGCTGGGTGCACTGCCATTGGCGGTGAGCAGGGATGCGGCTGTCAGCTGGAAGCGCTCCAGTCATTCATGGGGACTTCAGTGTGTGTTTGCTGGGCACGCTTGGACACAAATAGATGGTGAAAGATCTGGTGGAGCCAGGTGAGCACTTAAGGCTTCACTTTTAACTCTTTCCGGGGTTGGGATGGAGTGCCCTCC